CACGCCCCGACACGCCTCAATACACCGCACGACGCGGGCCACGCCTCGCCCGCCCCGCGCCGCCGCACCTCGCCCCGCTCCGCCCCCGCCCCGCCACACCACACCGTGGCCCAGTGGGCCCTCGCCGCGGTGCGACCGGCAGCTTCGCGAAGAGATTCGAACCCGCGACGTTGCTGCCGCTGGCGGCGTCGTGCAGCAGCAGCGGCCACAGCAGGAGGGGGGCAACGGCTGCAACAAGGCGACGTGAAGGGGCGGGCGGCTGCGGCGCCCACAACACATGCATTTTAACTCGCGCCGCTCGCTGCCAACGTCCGAGCCGACGCCGACGCCTTGTCTGCCGCGCCACGCCCTGTAGAGGAAGAGGTTCAAGTAGAGGACCCAGGGGCGGGCCCAGGGGGCAGGGCCGCCTCTGGGCCCGCTTCGCCACCCCGACTCGAACCTCCTAACGACTACAGTATCGGGGACCGGCGCCGAGGTTCAAAGGATGCACGTAGTTCTTCAAACAAAGATATACGTTTCAGGATGAAAAAGTGTCAAGTGAAGACACACATATCTTCGCTGGATCCGCGACCCGCGAGTACAGCACGGAGCAAAGCGTGTGTGAGACAGTGTATGTAGTCGCTGCGGAGGCATGGCGTCGCGAGAGATGAGGCCTGGGGGAGGGGGCGCAGGGCGCACGCACTGGCCGCAGTCTGGTTAGCACGATGCACTGCGAGATGTGGGCCGATGCGTCCCTCTGCCCCCACCGCCACCAGGGGAGGAAGGGGGTGGGGTGCTGGCAAGAGCGCGCTGATGAGACGAGGGAGACACAGAGGCAGAGAGAGGGAGTGAGAGATATATATGAGGAGGCGCGGGTAAGAGAGCGAGAGAGTGAGACGGAGAGGGGAGCGGGAGGACGGAGGGGGGGGGGGAGCTCATGGGCTTTATATTTAGCGCGGTAATATGATGGCGAGGAGCGGGCGGCCCCGTACTGCACCGGGCCGCCGCGGCGCACCGGGCAGCAGCGCATCCCGCCCAGCCGCCGCGCCGGGCCGGGCCGTGCGCTGCGGTGTAGTGTAGAGGGAGAGGTCGTCAATCCGACCTGACTGCCCCTCCTCCTCCCGCGGGACGGTCGAGGATGATCCCGCACCCACACGGGCCGGCCGTGCCTCTCGCCGACTTTCACATCTTTTCCGCGGCCCTGTCGCGCCCTGCTCGACATCCTGCTCGGCTAAATCAGGAAGTGACTGGCATGCCGATGACATTATCAGGCTGCGCCAGCGCCCCTCAGCGCTTCGCCCGCACGACTGCCGCTGTTTGCCGATATTGCAGAGTAGTCAGCTTACAAAAATGACAGCATGCATTACTTTTGGGCGTCCAGCCTGGGAAGATAAATTCATTATGCTGCAGTGGAACAACACAAACACAATTCGATATCTTAGACTGAAAGGCACGCAGTTAAGCCGCTCGTTCCAAAACTAACGCAGTTCAGCCGCGCGCTCCGAAAGAGACGCAGTGTACCGCTCTAGAGATAGGAACTGCATTAGTCTTGGAACGGGCGGCTGAACTGCGTCTAGCGTGTCGAATTCTTAATTCCAGAATATTTTTTATTTTACCTTAAAATTCTTTGAAAACTTTATCATGCAATGCAGTATTATTATTTTATGGTTTTTCTAGTGCGAGCGGCCGTGAGGCGTGAGCTCTTATCTTGGATCATATCGAAGCGGGAGAGACTTCGACGCAAGATCACCGCGGGCACCGGGTCCTGTTCGCGGAGGTGCAGAACTTTGGCAACCCGCGACGCTGGTCTTCCCCGGCCGCGGATCCGCGCCACCCCACCCAGCGACTCAGTGCCCAGCCAAAGAGCCAAAGGCGAGGCAGGAGGGCGGGACGGGGACGGCAAAGTAGTCAAGGTGGCAGCGACGCGGAGCAAAGCGGAGCGCCGCCAAAATGTCACGTTGGAAGTGAAGCCCTCATTTTTATCTCCCCGACAGGCGCCACCGCCGCCGTGGCCGAGGCCGTGCTCGCGCTGCTGCTGCTGGGGGGCCCGCGCGCCGGGCTGCGTCCAGCCCAACGGCCCAACGGGCGAGCGAGTGTGCAGCTCAGGTAAGAATACCGGTGACGCCACGCCGCCACCAGCCAGCCATGTGATGCTGCTGATGTCGCTGTTGTTGTTGTTGATGATGTTGGAGGTGGTCCCCCTCCTGTCCCCTCGTTGGAGCAATACAGCACGGCGCCGACGGGAGCACGCGCGGGGCGGGGCGAGGGGCGGGGCGGGGCGGGGACAATTTAGCAGGTTATCTCGCAATACTGTACCCGGCGCTGTCGCTTCCCCTGAACGTGACAAACTTAAGCCGCCGACTGCAGTGCTTGTGGTACACCCGCGGGGCGGGGCGGGGCGTGCGGGAGGTGGCTGGGTGGGGAGGGGTGCGCACTAATACGCACGCCTTTAAATAGCCGGCGCGGCTGAAGTGCGGCGTGGCTAACGCAGTGGCGGCGGTCCGGTCTGGTCCGGTCTGGCCTCTAATGAGACGTGCTCCCTCGCACCCTCAGGACCCAATATACCGGTCAACGCTCGTCCTTGTTCCTGCCCGGCGGCGCCGTGTGAGGGGCGTCCCCGCGCGAGCAGAGCCGCCGGCGCCAGTCCACGCCACGCCACGCCCCGCGGCGCCAAGCCACGCTCCGCCCGGGAAGGAGCTGGCAAGGACCTCCACAAGGCCGAGCGCCGCCCCGGGGCATAGCCACGCGGGGCCCGCCCCGCCCCGTCGCGCGGAGTCAACACGCCGGCTCTATTAGAGGAGACCAGCGGCCCATAGGTCCGGAGCCACGGGCGGCCACAGGCGCAAGGGACTGGATAGTGCCCTTGTCACGAAAGAAATCCCCCCCCACCCCTTTCCACACGCTCATCGCACAGTACTCACACCTCCGGCACGATGCATGAACACGGCGAGCTACACTACGCGTGGGCGACCAGCGCCGCCGTCGACGTCGCTGCCAGCAAACAATTATGCTGATGAATTTTTCGGCGAGGCCCTCCCTCTCCCTCTCGTTTGGCGGTGACATTGGGACGGAGGGCGCCCCCGTCACCGGGACGGCGGCGGCGACGGCGTCGCGGCGGCGCCACGGCCAGCCTGGCCACGCCCCCCGAACAAACACATTGGAAGCGCGCTGACGCCGACGATACCTTGTGTACTGCTGCTGTTCCCCCCGCCCCAGCGGGGCGCCGCGGCGGCGGGGCGGGCAGGTGCGGGGCAGGTGAGTATGGAAAGTGAACTAGCCGCCGCCGCTCCCCGCCGCTCCCCGCCGCTCCCCGCCGCCCCCGCCGACACACGTGGTCGAGCGGCCGGCCGGCCCGCCGGCCGGCGTGCGGTGACGCAAGGCTCGGGACAGCGCGGGGCGCAGAGCGCGGCCGGCGCGGTTGTACAGGTCCGTAGTACTCACCGGGATGCACTCGCAGCGGATGCAGTACATGACGCCGAAGGGCGGCCCGAGGTCAGCGAACCACGTGGAGCCCAGCTCCCGAGTCTGCTTGCCAAACACGCATTCTGCAACAAAAACCGAAAAACACATCACGTTAAATGTAAGACACGTCGTAAAGCTCCGCTTTGCTCGTCTTCATGGTTAAAATCTGGTACTATGTATGTATGGTTCTTTTCGTAAGTTTGCGCTCCACCCTTCCGGATAAGAGCCTCTTTAAGGATCAGTCAGTGCCCCCCCCCCCCCCTTTCCTTACTCTTCCCCACTCATCACGCTCCTCATGACGATGCCAAACATTAAAGCACGAGAGAGACAAAAGGGGTCTGGGCGTAACCAGTGACGCCCGTCTTGTCCCGTCTCGTGTTGCCCCCTCCCCTCCCCCTCTTCCTCTTCTGGCGGGCAATCGCCTATGGTGGAGTGGGCAATCGCCTGGTTGGCCGAGAGTCTGGTCTCTGTCCGGGACAGAAGGCGCCTGCTCGCCTGCTCGGTCGTACAGCGAGTATGACCGGTATGACCATAGCGCGTGGTCTTAACTCACATTAGGCACCATCAAATAATTGTAGGGGGGAAAAAACGATGACTTTTATACAGCTCAGTATTCGCCAAAGTTTCGTTGAAATGGTACGAATTGAACAGTTCTGGCCTAACCTTAAATCGAAATAAAAAGAGCGGCCATTCTCCTCGGTCATTCCTAATAATTCTTTCTTTGAGAACGTCTGCGTGCAAAATTTTCACCATTCATTCACAAAATGCGCAATCTTTCCCCGCGCGCTCCGCGCACTACCACGGCCGATACAGCGCGACGGGGCGGGGCGCGTGTTCCGGTCTGAATACATCACCATTCCAGTCGCCCCGCCCTCTCTCCGTAATTTGCTCTCTCGCGGGGTACTTAGGAGAATTGTATATGGGATGGCGGTGGGGCGGGGAGGGG